ATTTTGTATTCTTCATTGATTTTACCATACTTAGAGTATGGTGTTGAAAACTGGGGCAATACATACAAAAGCTCACTTCAACCACTGTGTATATTACAAAAAAGAGTGATAAGAATTGTGCATAAGATGGGGTATAGGGATCACACCAATGTAGCTTTCATACAGTCTAAATTGTTAAAATTTTTTGATTTAGTGGGATATAAGACTGCTGTGTTTTTGTATAAAGCCAGGAACAATTTATTACCTGGTGGAATTCAAAAACTATTTAATGAAAGGGAAGGGGGATACAATTTAAGGGGTCAGTTAAATTTAAAAATTCATGCTATACGTACAACCAAAAAAAAGATTTTGTATTTCCATAAGTGGGGTAAAACTATGGAATAATTTAAGTGTGGACATAAAAAATAGTAATAGAATTGATGAGTTTAAACATAAATATAAAGGTATGTGTCAATCAAGATATATATATAAGAACAGGTTCAATGATCAATTACATGGAACATTGTGGGTGTGGTGTATGATTATTAACACTCTGTTATATTTTTTTAGTATATTACTTGTGTGGTGTAGAGGATAATTATTTATGTAGAGATATTGCTTACAAACCAATGATAGTAAGATGATGTCATGGGGTAGGACTGGATAAGTCTGACTTCTTCCTACTCCATTCAAGCATGTACTAGGTATAAGCAAATTGATATTGGATTAGCATTTGGTGGATATGTGTAAAATTATGTGTGTTGATATATGAACTGTCTTTACATGCTTGAAAGAATAAATAAATCAAATCAAATCAAATCAAATATACATGCCAATATTCTGTATTTTTCAGTTGTTAACAAAACCCATGAAAACACCATCCCTCGCTGCTTCCCTTATTTCTATATAATATTGCACTTAGCCCATTCATTCCAGCAGAGATATAAATCTTGAAAAATTAGGCCAGATACTGTAAATCTTACTTACATTACTCAAACGTGGATAAATGTTATATTTGTAATATGTTATATTTGTTGAGGGCTTTTTTCTGTGCAGATAAATACAGAGGTGGTACAAAAGCATTTTAGGCTGAATTATTATGTATGTTAAAGTTTTTTTTCTTACAATTTCTAGTGAATATCATCACATCTGTGGATCCTTGTGAAATATGTGCCAACCCCTCCTGCTTTGGGTGTCGGACCTGATGCTGCTGCTAGTCATACTGGGAGCCCCTGGGAGCATCATCCTCAATAGTTCTTCCACATTTCTGTGTACAAGGCGTCCATGACTGCTGGCAAAACATGTCCTATCACCCAGCACCCAGGCCAAACAGCTCTCAATGTTCTGTGTGGTCATTGTACTCAAATTTAAAAGGTTATATAAAAACCACTGAGTTATTTATCGTGTTTAAATCTTTTGCTACAATGTTTGAATGTTGCTTTGTTGTCCTCAACTTGTTTTCATATTGAACATTTAATTTATTGAGCCTGAGGCAGTTTCTTGATAATAAAAATATGTATTGTTTGCACCCTTGAAGGGAGTTCATTTATTTTTAAAATTACAGCAATGCTCACATGCACAAATGACTGTTTCTTAACTGGATACAAACACAGTTGTATTTTATCTTTTGTCTTTTTGCAAAGCACTTTTGTCAACTTCTTGCTGATTTTAATTGTGCTATATAAATAAACCTGCCTTGACAAACCCAACAATGCACACACACATGTGCACACTCATACATGCACAAAAGGAGTATGCTGTTTCAACACTACTGAACACTAAATGAATAAGCAATAGAGGACATTCAGCCTAAAGAAAGTAATGGCAGCAAAGAAGTGAATGAGAAAGCAAAGTGGTTCCAGAATATAAATCAAAGCTTCTATGTTTGGACAATGAATCACTGAATTTCAGACTTTTCACATACTCAAGCATGAAAACCCTAGTGGGTCTCTTTGTGTGACTCTTATCTAGGTGTAAAGAACTATTTTCGGTGAGAAGAGCAACAAGGAGTCCTTCAACAGATGGTCTGGCCCCAAACAGGGCCCTGCTCGGCATCATCAAGTCAGTCTATGATTACTTGAAGAATGCAGAAACTGAGAGAGTAAATCCACAGAAGGGCCGTGACAAGTTCTCTTGGATGTTTGGAACCACCTACCTGCCAAGTACCTTGAAGAACTTGGCAAAAGAAAACCAGTTAACAACATTCCAGATAATCTAATCATGATTGAGGTTTATCAAAGATAGATAGATAGATGACAACTGGTTAAAACTGTTGATTCTCCTTTATTTTGTATTATTGTAAATTCATGGTGTTTGGGGGCTGCTAATGATTTAACAGCTAACATTTCAGATTAAGATTTTTCTTCATTTAAATATCATTTTGCCTATAGGCTGGAGGAATAGTAAAGTATTGAGTAAAAAGTGGTTAGCGACTACAACACTGCTGCAGCTGCCAAATTAAGGGCATTAAAAACAGACTGACTCCGGTAAACACAAACGAACACGGAAGTAGCAGAGAAGTGGGACGGAGTGATACCTCTTCGCATGGTGTCCTGTTTTCCTTGGCGTTATTTTGTCAACGTACGTCGACCTCTGGCGGTTAATCAGTGACGTTACATAATAAAAGCAGGTTTCAAACGAACTTTTAATTTCTTCAGTTAATATAACAAGTATCCGTCCAAATAATATTCTCTTTATTCTCGGTAAGTGTATTTTCCTTTTGAAAGTCGGACTTCGCTGCAAAACACGATTTAATTATGTAGAGAAAGGTAAACAGAAACATGGTGTTAATTTGTCGAGCCTTTTGTGTTTGTTTTAGGAAAAAAACATTTCTGCCATTCAGTTTTGACAGCAACAATATGAGCCAACGTAGGTGAGTAGACCGGAAGTTGTGGTAAATGGATACATGAAATGTTGGATACGGAGAAATAGCGTTTCCACTTTGCACTAAGTATTATATATTTAATTGTTAACTTATTTAACTAGTCAGAGTAGTTTGTTGTGCTTGAGGACCGCTTATGTTGTGTTTACCAAAAGCAGAGAAGCTAAGTGTGTGGCTCGTTGGTCTAGGGGTATGATTCTCGCTTAGGGTGCGAGAGGTCCCGGGTTCAAATCCCGGACGAGCCCTCGTTTTCGAGCATAAACGTTCTTTTCAAGAGTTGTACCAGCATGAATCTCGGACAAACTAATGTTTTTCCTTTTTCTCTATCAATGCCTTCATTGTAGCTTAATACTGAAGACATCAAAACTTTTAAATAAAACATTAGAGCTATGTAGTAAGCAAAAAGTACATTTGAGATTCTTCTAAGTAGCCATATTTAGCTTTGAATAGTTTTTTTTAATGCTCTCGCATTTTTTCTCAAGCAGCTTTATGACGTACTCACTCGGAAACCTTTTCCAACAGTCTTGAATGCTGAGCACCTGTTATCTGATTTTCCTTCATTCTGTTGTTCAACTCATCCCAAGCCACCTCTGGCATGGGTTTACTTTGGCTGACTGCAATCGCTCTCAGCAGTGAAACATCCCCCCACACCATCACACCTCTTCCTTAATGTCTCTTGGTGGGAACCACAATAACACATGCAGATACCATGCGTTCACCTTCATCCGTTCATAGCATTTGAGTGTTTTTGCAAATGCAGTTAAAGTTTTTTCAAAGTTCTTACAATTTTCTACATTAACTGACCTTCATGTCTTAAAGTAATGATAAGCTGTTGTTTCTCTTTACTTGGTTGGTTTTTGCAATATTATTCCAATACCTGCTGTGTGGTCATTCCTCTTAATGCCCAGCAGAGGGCACAATTAGCCAAACTATTTTACTACATACTGACTACCAGTAGTGTGCTGGTAGTATATGGACGTACCCCCTTCAGAAGTCTATTATTTTTATTCCGTGTTGCAATCCTTTAATAATGTATTCACTTATTTTGTTTAGTTTTCTTTTTATCTCAAAAAGAGAAACAAGTGCTGAGTTGCATGTTGCCATGAGAACAGCTAGAACAGGCACATTGGTTGACAGAGGCAAAGGAGCACCTCCATAATGAGCACAGTGTAATTGGCAGCATACGGTACTGGTCACTAATTATAAAAGAGGAAAAACATCAGGCTCTAACTGCATTACTGTAAATGTCTGTCACATTATGCTCCTCTTGGTACCTCATGCCATGTCCTGGCTTATTTTTATTGGGGACAACTAAAGACAACTCGAGAAACACAACATGTGCGCAAGAGTTGCATACTCGCAGAGTTTATGATAACCCATGAGCTTTTCTCAGAGCAGGAAGGAGCCTTGAGGAAGTGAAGTCCCCTAGAACATGTCTAGTGTTACCTAAGCTCTTTCTAGAAGACACGAATAGACGAACACATTCACACAGGATTTAGAATTTCACCTTATTTGGAAGACAAGTGAAAATGTGTGCTTTGAAATGTTTTTGAAACCCCACCCTTACCTCCATCATCGCCTTAAGTGAAAGAGTTAGGCGTTGTTTTTTGTATGTGTCGCTTTCTCAGGCTTTAGTCACAAAGTGATATCACCTATGTGCATAAGATACAGAATTTCAAATTTGCATGTCAGCCTTGATTCCAGTATGTTGATGCTGGTCATTTTGGATGAGTCGATCTCTTACACTCTCCCAAACCACTCCTCTGCAGGCCAGTCATAACAAATCATAAATCCTAATAGGTCAAAGTGTTTATTTGTCATATGCACAGTTAGGAAACGTGTTTCCCTGTACAATGAAATTCTTACTTTGCCGTCCACATGAATGCCACAAAATACAAATGAAATATAAAGTAGATGAATAAGTAACACAAAATCTAAGGCACTTTAAGCAGCAAAAGCAGCAATATAATAAAAATATATAAGAATATAATAAGAGAATATATGCTGCATGGGAGCAGCATGTGCAGGAGCCAACAGTCAACAGGCTAATACAGTTCAACAGGTTACTACAAGTACCAATAGATGTGTCCTTTGCTTGTTCACTAAACCGTACCACATTTCCTTTAGGTTTCGTAACTGTCAAACAAGCTTCTAAAGGCTCTATTCTATTATAAAGCCACGTCCGGTTCTTTCAAACCAGGAACTCAGTGAGACGAAGCAGACCACTTGAGTATATTAAAAGATATAACCGTGCTGGTTTATTCAAAGGGTCACAGGCAAGAATTAACATTATACGTCCAGGCATCTTCCACCCCCAAAGCTGCTCGCAGGCAGCCCGGAAGAAGAAAGACCCTGGACCAAGAAACCTATACAATATTAATCCTTCTGGGCTAGCCCCATACTACGCGGGCAACGTCAAACCGTGACGCCACCTGATATGCCAGCTTGGCAGCTGACCAGAGCAGTAGTCAAAACATGGAGAAAATAATGTGTGTGAATGTTGATTATGTGGTGTGTATCTAAAAACATACAGGACATTCAGGGACATGTCCGAACAGTAAGCCTCGGAAAATGTTATGATTAAGATTACGGCTGAGCATATCATGCTACTAGCAATATTCATCCTGCCGGCAGACTCTGCAATCTAGCTGACCTTGCCCTAGATGCAGCCTGCAGAACTCATGACAATGAACTGAGCATTTAACAGCCTGAG